GACATCATATACAAAAAAAATCATAATTTAGGGCAGTCATAAACCAAGGTACACTGTACTGTATATCTAATGCTTGCTGGGAGAGTATTGAACAGCTGTTGACCCCCTGATGTTCAGACAGTGTTCTCTGATTGTGCCTATGACACCGCTACTCCTCGCTGGTTCTAGTCTATATTTCCTTTCGTATCTTTTACTTCAGTATGCTGTTACTCTACTGTGCAAATTTGGGACTTGGATTTTCAGTATCTTCCTTGTTCTGTATATATTATTTGATACCTTTCTTGTCTCCTTTCCAGACAGTACATCTTGAGAGCTTTGCGACGGTCCCAGTAGTTTACATGGTTTATTGTGTCTATGCGTGCCAAATGTGTTCTCTGTATCCCCCTGTCAGAAATTTCTCCTTCTGAAAGGGGAAGTGAGTACTGAGCAATACTCTAGACAGGACAGCACCAGTGATTTAAATAGTATGAGCATTGTGGTGGGATCCCTGAATTTGAATGTTCTCATAATCCATCCTATTGTTTTCCTGACTGTCGCTATATTTGCCTGGTTATGTTCACTGTCAGGTCGTCGGACCTCATAATTCCCAAATCTATTGGGAACATTGTGGTACATTGCTACATCTGCTACATTTAATTTTTTTAAATTTTGCCCCGAGGGACGAGTTTATTGGGCAGCGCCACTCATCTTGTGAGTGGACATACCGCCAAAGCAGCATGTACAACACTCCCCAGTAGGAAGAAAACCCGCTGGGTTGTTCATCCTGTCACTTGTACCCAGACACAGCTGGGACTTGCTTAACTGTCTCAAGTGAACAGCTCCTCAAACAAGAAGATTAACATCTATCAACCCTTAAAAGCTTACATTATCTTGCGGGTGCAAAATGGGGAAATCTTTTAAGAACAGTATCAATATTTGACAAATAGTGTTTTCCTAACTTAAACAATGTGGGGTTTATTATTCTACACATACTTCTGATTTCTCTCAGGTGTTCACATTCACGTAGATAGTGGTCAAGGCGGTGTCCATCACTCTCGCCACAGATTCTGCAACTTCTCTGATCAACTGTTGTTTCCATTCCAAATCTCCATGGATATTTGTATCCAAGATGGATTCTCGCTATTACTGATTCTCTCCCTCGTCCTCCTCCTCTTCGGCCATAATGATTGGGGTTGCCAGCTGCAACCATGTTGTACCATCGTATAGATTCACTGGTTTGTGCTTCTATCCTCCTTTCCTCAGTTACCTTGTCACGGTGATGTTGCCTGACAATACCTTTAATTTGTAGTAGAGTCTTGGGTATGAAGTATTCAATATGGTCTCCTTCAGCTCCTTCAGCAGCCAGCACATCTGCTCGTTCATTCCCACATATTCCAACATGGGAGGGGATCCACAGAAACTTGATGACTTCCCTGATTGGTAAGTACTCTCACAGCTCTCTTAATTTCAGCGACTATCGCAAGATTTTCTGCCCGATTTTTACTTAGGCTTTGCAGTGCTGCTTTTGAATCGGTGCAAATCACTGCACCATTAGTGTTCCGTTCAAGAAACCTTAACGCCGTAACAATGGCAGTTAGCTCTGCTTGTGTTGAAGAGGCATAGTTCTCAATACATGCTTTTTCTTCATTTCTGCGTTGGAAAGTATTATCCTTGATTACTGTGTATGCTGCACCAGCCCTGCCATTGACAGGATTAGATGATCCGTCAGTGTAGATTTGATCTAGTTCATCTCCGGCTTCTTTATAAATTTCCTCGAGATACTTGTGCTTCATTTCTTGTGGTAACATGTTGGATTTTTTTGTTGCCATTTCATTGATGATGATCTTGCATGAGTCATCCACCCAGGGAGGTAACCTCTCTACAGGCAGGAGCTCACGGGCTTGCTCAAGCAGGTGAAGCTCTTCAAGGTAGCAGACTGATCTGTGATTCCATTTTTTGCTTCTCCTGTTTCCCCCTGAAAGTAGCACAGAGCTCAGTTTTTTCTTAGCCATATCATTGTAATGGGGATCTCTGGCTATCCTAATTGTAAGCTTAGCATTCAGCTCCTGAATTCTGCTTTTAACACTGGGAAGGGACAACTCCTCTTGTAGATTAGACGTTTTGGCAGTTCTTGGAACTCCAAGAATGATTGTCATGGCTTCATTTTGAATGCTTTCAAGCCTTTTCATATCGCTTTGGGAGTAGGTGCACAGAACTGGTGCAGCATAGTCTATGACGGAGCGCACATAGGCTGTGTACATCATTTTAAGCACGGCAATAGAGGCTCCATGTCCATTCCAGGTCATAGCTTTCAGTGCCCTGAGTTGACTTTTGCATGTTCCTATGAGTTGATTGAGCTCCTCTTTCTTTCCCTTGTTAGAACCGACAGTGACGCCAAGGTACCGATAGTGGTCAACCCATTCAAGTGTTACACCATTAATTTGCAGTTCTTCATTTGCTCTCCGCTTGTGATGGGAGTATGCCTTCGTCTTGTTTGTGGAGAGAGTGAAACCGAGCTCAATACATTTCCTTCCAAGGAGTTCAATGGACTGTTCAATTTTTCCCAAGGTGGGAGCTTGTATTAGGACATCATCTGCATATCCCACTTGTTGTGATCTGCTACATTGTGGTACACCGTAGCAGCCATGATCAAACAAAAAGTTGTTTATATTCTTTTTTAAATACAGTACTATATTCAAAAGGAAGGTACTGTACTATACTGTACTTACCTATCAGTGACTATAGGGAAGTGAGGTCTAGCTCTATATGCCCCCCCCCCAACTAGCCTTATTGTACCCATTGCATTAAAGCTTCACTATTTTAACCCTCGGTATCTTTGTTGAACCTTTCCTAAAAGTTGTGAATGGAGGTGGCTTCCTTTAGTATTTGTATTGAAAGGTTGAATTAATTCCAAGATCTATGTATGCAGTGAAGGTCATACATTAGGCTAGATGAGTGTGGTCATTGTCATTTATTTATTGCGTACTGGGAGTTGAAGTCCCATGACTTCTGGGCAACACCATTGAGCTATTGGAATTAGCTGGGCAACACTGGTATTCAAATATCGAAACAAAACGTAAGTTGTCGTTGATAACCACATTGCACTGTACGATCAACACATGACAGTGGCCACATTGCACTGTACGATCAACACATGGCAGTGGCCACATTGCACTGGACAATCAACACATGACAGTGGCCACATTGCACTGTACGATCAACACATGACAGTGGCCACATTGCACTGTACGATCAACACATGACAGTGGCCACATTGCACTGTACGATCAACACATGACAGTGGCCACATTGCACTGTACGATCAACACATGACAGTGGCCACATTGCACTGGACGATCAACACATGCCAGTGGCCACATTGCACTGGACGATCAACACATGACAGTGGCCACATTGCACTGGACGATCAACACACGAGTGACCACATTGCACTGTACGATCAACACACGAGTGACCACATTGCACTGTACGATAGTGACAATTATTATAATTGACTGGGATAGAAAACAAGGTTGCCTGGGGGATTTTTCAGTTCACTTTGGATATTCCCTATTTCACTTTGAAATAGGGTATATGCAAGCTAAATGTTACATATAACAGTTAGACAATAGAAGATTCCAATTATGGTACAGTTTAGGAACCATTGTGTTAAACTAGCTGTAATATGTCTTGTAACGGGGGGTGGGGGAAATAGCTCTATCTTGTCCATTATTCCACCCCCCAGTTAACTAACGAGGCCGGGGGAAACAGCTCTCTCTAGTCCGTTATCCCGTCCCCAGTTAGCTAACTATTCTAGAGCACCCTCCAGAGTTCCTAAGGCAACCTCTCTCGTTCAACACCTTGTAACCTAGGTATTTGACTACCTAGGTGCTAAGACTACAAGGCGCCGTAACTTGATCAGTTACCCGAAACCCTAGAGAGAACTCTAGAATACAGAATCATTGCCACAAACGTACAAGAGAAAACGAAAGGAAAGAAATGAATAGTGAAGTAATTAGTGAGGGTTTGTGGTGAGAGGGAGAGAGGTGGGAGGAGCGAGGAGGGTCATTAGTTGAAAGTGAGAGTTCAGAGAGGGGTGGAGGGAGAGGTGTAGATAGGTATAAGTAGAAGAGTAGCTAGTAGAAGTAGAAAGTAGATAGTAGAAGACGAAATGCTGCCACCATCCATTCATGATCATTACATACAAGACAAGGAATGGAACTTGTCTGTATCAAAATATTCTCAAAAGATGTTATTACCATGTATCAACTCCAAACATGTACTCATTAATATCATGAAACCAGTAACCACAGAGGCTTTCTCACCTCAACTCAAAGCTCTAGGGAACAAAGTTAAACACAATTTAAATAATAAATTCATAATTATATTTCCCATGAAGTATCATAATTTAGCAATTCAATTAAAATGTTCCAGTTTAATATGCAAAGTGAGTCATCATCCAAGAATTCGAGAACCCTACAACTTGACTGCCCCTGATCATCACACAACATATGTAAACACGACCAAGTCACCTTACTGCTCAACTCACCAAGTGTCTCTGCCTATAGCTGGATAGAGAGGGGGTGGGGGTCTGTAGTTGACAGAGACTCCCGCCCTGCCGGCCGACAGCCTCCCTGCTAGGGCCGTCTCCTCTGCTCTGCTGACTGCCGTTCTGTCTGTTAATGCTTAATGCTCTCCGAGTATATATTGGGGACCCTAGTACTAACTCCGCCCACAAGTAGATAGCCTCCGGCAGTATCAAGCCACTCCTTAAACGTCGGCATGTTTGAAGGCTACCAGACTACAATTATAAGCTTAGCGGAAGCAAGGTGAAATTCTCATGATCTGACCTCAGGTCACTTGGGGTCATTACCTCTTAGACGTGTGACTTTCCGGTGGACAAACTGGCGCCTTCTCTAATCCCTGTCTGTGACTCATGTACTCTATGTATGTATTAAACTAAACCAAACACTTTTACAGTGTTACAGTCTGGGTAAATAATTGTGGTTTATTATTATCAGGAGGACGAGTTTCTAGATGGCCAGCTGACCTTAGTAGTGGAAGATGCACTTGATGGGGGACCGAATCCTGCCTTCTTCCCTCGGTCGACGATCCACGTGCGCTCAGTCAAGTCGGGCAATGCTGTGGTCACACACACACGCCAGTGGACTCCAGAACTAGAAAATAAGCTTCGGGTAAGCTACAGTTGTGGTTTTCACTCTTGTCTTAATGGTCTTTTCCCAGTAGTGCGGTGGTTTTATGGGGCTACAGGCCGCCTCCTTGAAATTATAGACCCTTTACGTCTTGTTAGCCTCACTAGTATTAAGTAGGCCTAATCACCAAAATGAGATTGCATGTCATTATAAAATTGTGCCACTGGAAGTAATAACCCCACAATATGGCCTGAACCCCTGAATCCAGCTTCAGTTTTCTGTATTGAATTAACTAGAATAATGCCTATGTCTAGGGACCTAAAAAGAATGGATTAAAACAACCAGGAAGAACAGTTAAGAAACCAAGGTGAGGACTTGTACAAAGAAAGTGTGGAAAGTACAGTTGATCGCTGGTGCCAGCAGGTTCAGTGCCAGTATTCAGGATCGACATTTTGCACTGCACTATCAACAAGTATCTATTCAAGAACTTCCCCACTATGACAATGGCTACATTTTATAATTTACAGTACTGTAATTCTCAAAACCTATAATAATCACTAAATATGTATTGAGAAAAAGTACAGTACTTAAAAAAAATGGAATACATAACACATCAAAAGGAAATTCAAATTTTAGCCTTTTTCTAGAATCTAAACATATAGAACACTGCTGAAGGCCTATTGAACCATGTGAGATAGTTGCTATTTATACCCACCCAAATTCATTCATACATGTCTAATCTCTCCGTGAAACAATCCAGTGATCAGGTGTCTTTTGTATTACCTGGTAATTTATTCCATAAATCTACAACCCCATTCCCAAAACCCATAGTTATCATGGTCCTTGTCTAAACTTATCCAATTTGTGTGAATAATTTTGTTCTATTTTATGTAGATACAGTATATTTAGCACCCTAATAATATGCCCTTTCTTATTCTCGGATCCATTAGTATACGTCAGCCATGCCTCCCTTATTCTTTGTCCCTTCCTCCTGTCTAGATAGTACTACCAGTAACTATGTGCACCATTGTACATATAGTGACATAATGGATAATTAGACTAGTATTTTGTACTGTTCAATTTATGAAGTCTGGACAAAATAAAGCTGAACGTATTTGTTTATAGGCCTAGTATAGCATATACAGGCATACCTCAGTTTAAGAGTTTAATTGGTTCCTGGAGACGCCTCATATTCCGAAAACTCGTATTCCGAAGCTAATATCCGTTCCTGACTACCCCAAAAACCCCACATCAAACTAAATTTTTATACCTAATTCATCTAAATAAACCTACAAAACTATGTTCAAGTTATTACATACCTTGCTGTTGAATGCTGTAAGCGTATGAAAGATGGTGAGGAGGGGGAGGAGGAGAGGAGTTACTGTTTGGAAGGGGAGTCCCCTTCCATTATCACATCAGGCAGTGAGGACCTTTCTGGTGTGCTCTCCCTGGGACGTTTTATCTGAGTGCCACTAGGTCCTGGTTGAGGCTCACTGCTCGATTTCCTCACCACAAATCTGTCCAAACCCTGGCTTTCTCACAAATAATGGCCTCCGAAACACTGTTACCCCTTAACTCCTTGTCGTGTATCCAAATTAATAACAACTTTTCCACTTCTTCAAGTATTTGTGGTCTTTGTTTCGTTATTGTTCTGACTCCTTTTGCCACTTTAGCACCCATAATCTCATTTTTCTTCCTAAGTATAGTGCATATTGTTGATGTGGCTTTGTTGTACTGCCTACAAAGTTCAACAACACGTGTACCGTTCTCATGCTTCCGAATGATCACTTGTTTCTCCTCTATTGTCATCCTCACATGGGCTTTATGGCCTTTATCCTTACTACTGGCTTTCTTGGGACCCATGGTGAGATATATAATAATAAATTGTATAGTCAAATCACCAAAAATCCAACAAAACACTGAAAATCCGCGAGAAGAATTGATGTGGGGTAGTCACTGAGCGCGAGACAATGGTAAACTGAGGGGTGGAGGGGCGACGATCGCCGAACCACCACGCGCTGGGTCGGCCTGTGCGCGTATCGACAAACTCGCGTCCCGAGGTAACCCTCGCGTTCCGAGACATATTTTCCGAGGAAATCCTGCTTGTATTCCGAAAAACTTGCATACAGGGACACTCGCATTCCGAGGTACCACTGTACTGTAAATGTATTATGTAAGGCTTCTCATAGCATGTATTAGGCCTAGGATAGTTAGATTAGTTTTATCAAGATAAATACAAAACCTTTTCTGGTTTGTCCAAATTCAATAGTAGCAAATTCTACTTTCTAATTGTCCATTATGTCAGTATATGTACGATGGTCCACATTGTTTCTATAAGTACAATCTAAACAGGAGGATGGGCGGGCTGTATTCTTTGTCTCTCCAGAATGTAAGTTAAGCTTCATTAATCTCTTTGGGGAGGATTCCAATTCCTTGTGTTAGCTTTTGCCATCCTTCTCTAGACTGGTATTAATGAATTTGTATAGCGTGGTGCCCAGAACTGATTTGTGTGCTGTGAATGGGGCCTAACAAGGGTAAGGTAAAGCTGGTGAATAACCTTGGGTGTCTTATCGCTAGTGTATCTAGATATGAATCCAGGTACTGTACAGTAAATGTGTTGTATTTGCTCTACTTGTCTTACTGAGGCTGTCTGAATTATCCAGACTGCTAATTTAGAAAATAAAGGTTTCATTGACAATTTTTTTTCTGGTTCATCAAGGGTTTCATTCTTTCATGATTATATCGACATTTCATTATAAATTTCATACAGTATTTCATTTTATTTTGACCATATTTATGCATAACATGCCAAATGCTATATACTTTATCTTGAACTTTAAATTTGCTTTGTATATTTACTAAACTATGGACTCATGGGTGTAAAATATGCAAAGCTGTGAAGACTTGTTGTGAAGACCTGTATTACTTTATGTTCAGTATTTCCATGAAAATAATAGTATTGTACACTTGTGTGTGGTTCTTCAGGCACTTGCAGAGAACGATGAATTGTATCGCATGCGAGTGTTCCACAAAGGTGCAGAAGATAAGGGCTATGTATCAACATTCACAAGGGCTGTAAGTAGTTTTAAATGTTCATGTTGTATAGCTACGTATTTGTAGGCTCTGATTCTGTAGTATAATTGTCGGCACAATTTACTCATAACTGAATGGTTCCTTGTTTGTTTCCCCTTTCAAGATGAGACATTTGGGTGCATTCCTTATACCTGATGTCTGGTCATCTTGTAGTAAATAGAAACTTGGAAGTTAGGCAACTTTCATAGATTGCACCCTAGGAAAAATTCAGTCAATGTGGGCTGGGGGAACCTCGCTTAGCATAACGTTTCTCATCCCCAACAATGGGAAACCATTTCAACATTGTGTGATGATCTAGTGGTATTCCATGCAGCACCTAAAACCACTGTTGTGGAATGTGGTATACTGGCATGTGTACCAAACTGTCATCACAACATGGTTGTGGGAAAGGCTGCATCTGCAGTTGACAAGGCTTGGCTATTGTTGTAAAACATGGGATAGTGAACAGCTGGTGTGGTTTACCTTTCCAAACATACTTGTCTCAAGAGGTTACACCTCCAGACAACTCAGGTTTGTCCATGTTCAGTATTGTAGCCCTTAACATGGCTACATTTGTTCCATGTTTTATTACATCATTGAATTTAATTAGCAAGGAATAAATAACAGGTTCACAAGTCTTAACCTCCCAGCCCCTGTATATAGGTGTGTGTGTGTGTGTGTAAAAATTAGGATTAAGGACTTGTCTGAAATGCTGTGTGTGTACAAAATGTAAGAACTCTTGTATATGTTGTTATAAAAAAAAATCCTTTTACAGAACTGCTACCATATCACCATACATAATTTGTCCTACTTCTCTCCATTAACACAGACAATAACTGTGGCTTCCTTCATAATTCTCCATGTATCATGTGTGCTTATGTATATCCCTTTGCTTAAAAAATATGTACAGTATGTGTTAGCAACACAAATTTCTTTCATTGTACGAATATTCCAGTCTACAGTTATTGGGATTTGTACTTTCTACCTAAGTTTTCTATTATACCCATCACCTCATTCATCACATCGTAAAGTATCCCAACTTTACCATACAAAGCACTCATCAGTTATTGTCACTTCATGGTATTTTACCAAGAAGTGACAATACCGTCCCTTGGGCTGGACGGTAGAGCGACGGTCTCGCTTCACGCAGGTCGGCGTTCAATTCCCGACCATCCAAGTGGTTGGGGCACCATTCCTTTCCCCTCGTCCCATCCCAAAACATTATCCTGAGCCATTCCCAGTGCTATATAGTCGTAATGGCTGGGCGCTTTCTCCTAATAGTGCCTTCCTTCTCTAAATTACGACTGATAAACCAGTCGGTCTCGACATTTTTAATAACTTGATGCTGTTCTGTACTTGGTTACTGGAATACTGAAGTGTATTTGTTAAAACCTTCAATCTTTTGTTTCTAGAATGTGGTTTAATTTTAATAATTTTGTAATTTTAATATGCCATTTACAGTAATTAGTAATGATTTCTTGATTTTTGTTTTTTCTTGAAATTGCTCAGTGTCAGATCTATGAGAGTGGACTGTCAGAGACCGTGAGTATGATGGTGGACAGTGCCGGGACTTCTGTGGTGGGCGTCGGTCTGATCCCCCCTGTTGGTGTGTGTCGAGGGGAACCTCCGGAGATTGCTCTGGTGCAGCACAACACGACGGTCATCATTAGATCTCCAACACCAGCCCCTGTGTTAGTGTTTCACTTTGGGGTTTTCTCTCGTGGTATTAACAGCTCGTGTGTGTGTGTGTGTGTTAGCGATAGGTAATCCGACTCGATTATAGTGATGGATATTCCATTTTAACTAGATTAGTGCATCAAAACTATTACTGTGTTCTGTAATGGGTTGACTGGTAACATTCTTATGAAAGTATTCTAGCCAGTTAGTGATTAGAATAGTTGGTTGAGAACCAGAACGTCATGTTGTGACTTTACACGCCGGATGGAGACATTCCGGCATGTTTTCTTACACCTGATGCCTCTATTCACCTAGCAGTAACTAGGTACCCATGGGGGGTAAGCCTACTGTTGTAGGCCGTATCCTAGGGGAAAGTCAGTAGCTGTTGGCCTGGGGGAGACTTGTATAGGTCTAACAGCCTTCCTATCCCTGACATGTTCATAGTGCTGAAAGTGACATTTGGTACTAAAAGGTGTAATTGAACTTTGGAAGGGTCTAATATAGTCTGTAAAGCCTAATATTTACATTATAAAACCTAATATTAAAATTATAATTCCTAATATACAGTAAAGCTAGATATTCACACTGCAAAGCCAAACATGAACTAAAATTCAAAACCCAAATAAATTTAATGGGAATCCAAATTCTTTAATGAAGAATTTTGTCTATTTTCTTTTTACAGACCAGATACAGCTACTTACATAGAAAAGTTGGAAGCCATGAAAAATGAGAAGGCAGAAGGAAAGGATAACAGATCATTTTTGGCTAAATACGTAAGTATGAATTATGTTAATTTGGGACTGCAACTGCTGGTAAAAGTCTTGATATACATTGATAATTTAAATCAAAGTTTGACACATTCACTTTATATTTTTATTGGTCAGGTGCAGAGTATCAAAATGAGGCAATATTGCCTCATTTCCAACTCATGGAAATGATGCTTCTGTTCCCCTATTAGTAAATAGTCAACTATTTTGGGTTGCATCCTTGGGAAGATCAGTATTACCTGAATTTATCTGAGGGCCACCATATCTCTAGTGGCCTCAACGAGGACTTGTCAAAAATCCTTCCCCATTTTCCCCTGATTTTATCCAGCTGGAATTTGAACCTGCAGCAACATTTACGGCTTCGGTGGGTAGGGGGTTCCGTGGGTTTATATCCCTTGGGGGTGAAAAAGCTTCTCCTGTTTCCTGTCCTATATAGTGGTTTGAAGCCTTTTCTCCTAGTGTGCATTACAGTTGACTTCTTTAAGAAGTGGTCTGGATCAATATCCTCCAAATTGTTCAGTATTTTAAAACGTTTCGATGAGATGAGCCCTGTCATGTCTGGTTTGCAGTGTTATTAGCCCTGTGGCTCTCAACCCTTCCTGGTATGAGTACAGTACAGGACTTAGTTCTGTGATGATTTTTATATACATTCCTGATTTACATGAGGGCCACCAGCCCTAGTGGCCTTGATGAGGACAGGAAGCTGGCAGCTTGTTGAAGGCTCCTACATTTGCCTTGATGAACTTTTCCAGGTATGTGTTGAAACTCGACAGAGTTTTGGCAGTTACGGCTTAGGCTAGTAGGTGGTTCCATGGGTTAATGACCCCTGTGGGTGAAAAAGCATCTCTGTTCTCAGTCCTACATTGTGGCTTGTTGAGCATGAAACCTGTTGCTCCTTGTTTGTGTTACATCTGACCTTCTGAAGGAAATATCCGGATCAATATCCTCTAACTTGTTCAGTATTTTAAAACTTTCAATGAGATCCACCCTGTCCTGCCTGGTTTGTAGTGTTGTTAGCCCTGTGGCCTTGAAGTGTTCCTGATACAAGAGATTGATTAATAAAGATTAAGCCACCCAAAGGGTGGCACAGTCATGAATAGCTCGTAAGTAGAGGCTCTTTGGAGCCACTACCAGTACCAATAGCTAATTCTGGAGATCTGTGGATATTGACCAATAGCTGGATACAAGAGGTGACTTGGCTCTGGAATGTCTTTTGTTGCCCGGTATTACACCTTCGCCCAGAGCAGCTATGTTCTTCTAAAAATGAGATCTCCATGCTTGGATACAGTAATCCAAAAGGGGGCACGCCACAGATTTATACAGTTGAGCCATTACCTTCTTTTCCTTATAGTCAAAAGTATGGTTGATTATCCCAAGAGTTTGGTGAGCTTTTCTGACTGCTGCACCCACCTGTTGTGCAACTTTTAATGAGTGGTGGATTTTGACTCCAAGGTCCTTTTCATCACCAATCTGCTGTAATGTAATGCTATTAATTTAGTAGTCGTGGTGTGGGTCGTTACGCCCCACATGCACGGTTTTGCATTTGATATTAAAAAGGATTTGCATCTCCTGACCATCTTTGTGTCATCAGCAAATATGATGATGTGATTTGTAATATTCTCATCTATGTCATTGATGTATATGACAAAAAGAGTAGGTTCCAAAATGGACCTTTGTGGCATCCCACTTACCACATTTCTTCATTCAGATTCGTTTCCATTTTGCATGACCCTGTTTCTTTCCTTCAACCACTGTTTTATCCATTCTAATATTTGACCATTTACTGTGTCTGTAATTTTCCTTGCCAGTCTTTCATGTGGTGCCTTATCAAAAGCCCTACCTAAATCCATGTATACTACATCCACCAGAAAGCCGTTGTTTGAGTAGCTGGTTACCGTTTCCCAAAAATGTGAGCAAGTTTGGAAAAATCTCTGGACCAAGGGGACTACCCCTCGATCCAGAGATTTTGTGAAAAGTAGTTTCAGCAGTAGGCATAGTTCTTCTGCCAGTTCCTTTGGCTTTGGATTGGATTTCATCCACACCTGGGACTTTTATGTCTATTAGTTTGTCAGTGTTCTTTCTAATTATTTCACATGTTATGGGTATATCCCTAAATTCATTCTCCACCCCTTCTTCAAATATTTGTGTGGGGTGAAGGGATGTCATCCAACCTTTCGAGTGTGAACACTGATGTAAAATAATCATTTAGTGTTTGCTGCCCTTTCATCATTCATTATAGCTTGGTTAAACTGAGTGCTTTGTTTTCGTTTTACCTCTTATATAGGTATATAACAATTTTGGATTTTTCTTTGTTTTGAGCAAGTTTTCTTTTTTAGTTTCTTTTGGCTGATCCTGTTTTCTGAGTGGCCGAGTTCAGGGCTCTTTTGTATAACTCATAATCAATTATGTCCATTGTGGATTTCTATGTTCTCCAGAGGTTCCTCTTGGTTACCAATGCTTGTTTTACAACCCGTGTCATCCATCTACGGTAGTTTCCTTTCTTGTCTCTCTTCTTTTCAGTGGACACTTTTGACCCGGAGTCTTGCGAGTCTGCTTCTTCTCCAGAACTATTCTGATGACATTACTGTTGGGTACAGGCAGCATCTGCATTGTATGCTAGGTTCAGGTTACTGCAACGTGCTAGGTTGATTCATCACCCGGATGCCCCGCAGCTTTGGTTATAGGGACTCGGATCTATGGTCATCAGTCTCTTCAACTTTGGTTCAGTCCATGCTCCCTGGCCCTTCCCCTGTTGTTCACCCTGCTCCCTCTTCTGGCTCCGAAACATTTGAGGGTTTCAGAGTCGGGGCAGGGTTTAGTTGGTAATGAGACTCCAGCAGCTTTGGGGACTGCCCCGTTCGGGTTGGACATGGAGGCATTCGAGCCAGTTCCTCCTACCGAGATTTCTGGGTCCCACCCCTTATTTTCAGCCTTTTCCCCTGGACTCTGTCTTTTCTCCAGAGTTTTCTCCAGGGGTAGAGGGTATGGAGGACTGCTCTGCCTGGGTCCCAACTTGGGGGATCCTGGGGCTGGAGAAGAGTCGACCTGGGGGCTTTGGGGGCCCCCTTTGACCATGCTTGGGTGTTGGTGCCCTCTTCGCGGGGCTTGTTGCAGGGGGAGGGGCTTTCCTATTCCCCTTCCCCGTATGAGTATAATTTGGAGTCGGCTCCTCTTCAAGTTCGGTTCCGAGCTCCCTTGGGTTCCTCGGCTACATCCATGCTCTTTGGAATCCACTTGTGCCCTGGCTCTTAGGTTTTCTTCACCGCTTTGACTGTTGCTGTTTACGGAGTCTGCTGTCACGCAGTTTCTGCAGGCGGCTTCATCTAGTTGTCATCCCATGTCGGGCTTGTTGGTTCTCCGGGGTGGCCATTCTCAGTTTTCTCGGAAAGGTCATGCCAGGGCTTGGGGTTCTGCTGGTTGAGTTAGGCCATTGGTGCCAGCTTCTGAGCCGACGTTGCCTTCCGAGCCAGCGTCGTCTGGTTGGCGTAATGATTGCTCTTTTTGCCAGCCGGCTTCTCGTAAAATGCATCAGCCCTTTGGCGGTTCGCCCCGTTGATAGGGCAATGGGGGGGGGGGGGGGGAAGCTGGCTCTGTTTGCTCGCTCTTGGTCCCACAATTCATGGACATTTTCGGTTGTCATCCGGCCTGTGGTGACGTAGGGTGGTTCCTCCCCCCTTCGTGAGGTTCGGGGCTGGTGGAACAGGTCTCTTTCTCTGCACTTCGTCAGGTTATTTCGGAGTGGGTACGCTTGGACGTGGTCGTAAGTATCCCATCCCTCAAGTGGGTTTCATGCCTGTTTCCAGTGCCGAAACGGGAATGTGCGAAATACAGTTCATTCTGGACTTGTCCCTTCTGAACCCCTGGATTCCTTGCCCCTCCTTTCGGATGACCACACTGTCTCGGGTTCGGTTTCTTTTAGAGACGGGTGCCTGGACCTCAAGGACGTGTATTGGCAGGTTTCTATTCATCTGAAGTTTAGGGACTGGTTAGGTTTCGTGGTGGGGGCATCAGGCTTACTGCTTTCATTGTCTTCCCTTTGGCTTGAATCTGGCACCTCTCGTATTCACGCATCTTACCCAGGTTGTGGTGACCCGTCTGCATCTGCTAGGGGTTCAGGTCCTGGGCTACCTCGACGACTGGCTTGTGTGGGCTCCCAGTTGGTCTGCTTGCCTGCTCGCCAGGGGTGTGGTTCTTTCCCAGCTCTTGGGGTTCCTGGTGAACTAGAGGAAGTCCCATCTGGTTCTGTCCTAGGTTCGGACCTGACTGGGTCTTGTTTGGGACTTTCAGACCGCTTCCATGTCTCTCCCTCCGGAGGCGTTGCTGTGGCTGCAGTCCTGCCTTTGGCTATTTCTGGGGTGGTCCTGGGGTTACTTGGCAGTTGCTCAAGCAGTTGTGCGGGAGTTTCCTCATGCCCATGACATTAGGTGGTTTGCTGCATTGGCTGCTGTGTTTGGCAACATGTCCAGGGCTGATATTCGGGCGCGGAGGTTTTGGAGGTTGAACAGGGTCCTGGCCGCCAATTATTTGGTTAACGTTCCTGCTCCTGGGCTTTCCTGTGTTGCTTTGGGTCGCAGGTTGCAGCCAGTTGTCGTGACTTTGCGTCGAGGTGTGTGTGGCAGCCGTCTCCTGGGTAAGTCCCTCTTTACCTTATCTTTGGTAGCTCCAGGGAGCCGTAAGGGCTCCCACAGAAAACAAGTGTTAAATGTAATTAAAATGCCCTTTTCTGGGTGAGCCTCGGAGGCTCCCTCGCAATCCTCCCTCCGTCTGGTTGGCAATTTTTTGCTTTGTTTGATGCTCAGCTTCCGAACTGGAGTGCTAGGTAGCCGGTGCAGGGAGGGATGTGTGGACAAGCGACGGTGAAGTGTGTGACGTTTGCTTAGTTTCTTAGGGATTGGAGGGAGTTCTGCCTCTCATTTTCGTTTTTTTGTTGCAATTTTCTTACCATGTGGGATTTTTGGCTTTGCCTACCTTTCTGGGTGCCTATCCCTGGTCGATGGCAGATAAGGAAAGCCCCCAACCACAGGGTTTTTTTTCCCAGGGCCATTGCTCCCTGCACCTCTCTGAGGAAGTCAGGTTCTTGCTCATGGTTCTCGGTAGGTTGAACTTCATATATTAGACCGGGGGCATTAGTCTATCACATAGTAGCCTGATAGCTCCCTGGAGCCTCCAGGGCTCACCAAAAAAATGGTGTTTCATTACATTCAACAATGGTGGTGGTTTTTTTTTTTAAATGGTGAAAATTTGTGAGAGATGTACTCTTGAATCCAAAGGTTCAATCTGCATGTATTCAATAAGTCTACTGTAACCAAAATTATTGTCCTGAATCTTGATAACTTCCCACATTTCATTCACTTGCATTTTTGTTAAAATGGCGTCTGTTTATAAGAGCCCTGAGGAAGCTGATGTGAATCCAGTGTAACCATTGGAGTTTTAAATCTTGCGTGTTGCTCAACACATCAATAGCTGTGGTGGGCAATTCCGTGACAGTTACTCGCAACAGCTATTGATGCGTTGCGCAGTTTAAGGGTTAAGAGATGATATTTTAGGTATCTGGGAAGAAAGATAAATATGCTAACCATTGTTTAGGAGATTTAAAAATTTAATCAATTAAAAAAATCTTGTTCATGACCACTTGATTTGCTAAAAATGTCAAATAAAATTAGATGCACAGTTTGAGGTATGTATTGTATACTGTATATAAATAACCTGTATTTCAGAATTTTATTATAATAATGATTCAGATTCAGATTCAGATTCAGATGTTTATTCAGGTAAGGTATATACATACAAGTGATGTTACATTAATGGATTGATATATAGATAGAGCTAGTACATACAATGCCTAAAGCCACTATTACGCAATGCGTTTCGGGCAAGAAAACATTAATATCTAGAACTTAATACTAATTGAGCATAAAGAATAAAAGATGTTGAGAACAAATACAAATAAAGATAAAAAAAAAGGGGGAAACATGACTGAAAAAGCAGCACAAATACAATAGGTTGACAAACAGTGTTGATTAAAAAAAAAAAAAGAAAATAACAGACATGGGTTGACAATAGAGGAGTGAGGTAGATTACAGGGAATTTATTAGGTAGTGTTTAGTTTTTATCTTAAACTGGTTGAGAGAGGTAGTCTTTAACATGGTGATATAGATCTTTAACATGATGATATATATCTGCAGTTTATAATAAAAATTGATACTCTTGACATGTACCTGAGCTGCCATCTGTCTAACCTTAGCTTCTCTTGTCACAGTGGATGTACATTGTGCCGGTGGTGTTGATCATGGTGTTGTTTGGCGGCGGGCAAGAGGGCGGACGCTGAGCAGATCCTGCTGCCGAGATGTTCGTGCATGGCACTGTTTGGCAGCCGAGAAGAGTGCGGACGCCAAGCAGAAGATGCTGTGAGAAGCTTGTGTGTTAGCATCTGTTTTCAGGATGACATAATGGTGAATAACTTTGGGTGAGTTTTATTGTTTATTGCAGACACAGGTTTGGTTCAGCCATCGTACCGATTAAATATGTTTATAATGGCTAAATTTCTGTGTAATTATTGCCAAAGGATTACATTTTACTGGTTATATACTGGATACTATGTATTGTAAAAAATCCAAAATCACTTCATTCCTTAAAAATAAATGTTCTTGTAAATAAACCTGATTGTTAATGTAAGTAGAATACATTGATCAAATTTTCTCTATGTAAATACTGTCTATGTTGTTATTCTACTCTGGTGTGTTCCATGTTGTTTCGTCTGCTGTAGCCTCTGGCTGAGTACACCAATGTTTATGAAGTAAAAGTTAAGGGAATTAAATGTATCTTGGAAGGAAGAACATATGCAATTAAAAAATTTCTTGTATATTCAGAATGTGGGTTTTATTTGCTATTGTTTTTATTAATACTGTACTATGAAAATTAATGTACAACAAAGTTCTCAAAAGAATATGTATAAATTTATAGAATGCTTCAGTAATGTGTCAATGTTTCTTCATTCCTGAAAGTGCTCCTGTCATTCTCAGACAATTGACAGTCAGTGCTCCTGTCATTCTCAGACAATTGAGTCAGTGCTCCTGTCATTTGTGAACGATGTAATGTGCCTCTTGACATTGTTTCTAAATATTCTTGTCGTTCAAAATGGGTTTCCAAATGTGGTTGTCATTCAAAACTTAGAGACCTCTGGTAATCATTTGCCACATTGAGAAATAATTCTGCAAGTCTTGCTTACCATCCTGGGCATTATTCCAACTATTGGCACCTTATCATCATCCTCCCTCTCTTGTTGTCTGTGATCGGAAACAGTGATGCCGTGCAAAATTTCAATAACATTTTATGGACCATGAAGATGTTTGTGACAAGGACAAATCTATTACAAATAGTTTACGTGAAAATTATTTATCGGAATTTCATATTTTCAACATTTCTTAACCTCGCTACAGCCAAGCTAAAAGGATTAAAAAAAATTGTCGTTAGAAAAAAAAAATATTTTAAGGCGTAAAATGGAAGAAGAATTTTTGTATGCACACCTGAAAACGTACTTGAAAATGGCCTTGCAGTTTGAGGGTTAAACAAGTTAAGAGTGAAGCAGTTGCATACTCTCCCGGTGTGAAGGCTGGGCTGTTCCTGTGTCATCTTGGCCAGTCACTTGGAAGTAACACATTGTATTCCCTTGATAAACTTCTGGAATTCTTTATTATTTTGTTCTACCTCATTCGTATATTTTTTCATGTTATTTTTGAGTGGAAGTGTAGTACAGCATGAGTAATTGAACTGTGTTATGTGCTGAGTAGATTGTTCACTGAGGAGTAAAAGTCTAGTATTTGCTGTATGAGGGGGGAGTTGAGTATTCACTGTATGAGGAGGGGGTCGAGTATTCACTGTATGAGGAGGGGGTCGAGTATTCACTGTATGAGGAGGGGGTTGAGTATTTGCTGTATGAGGAGGGGTCGAGTATTTGCTGTATGAGGGGGGAGATGAGTATTCACTGTATGAGGAGGGTGGTCGAGTATTCACTGTATGAGGAGGGGGTTGAGTATTTGCTGTATGAGGAGGGGTCGAGTATTCACTGTATGAGGAGGGGGGTCGAGTATTTGCTGTATGAGGAGGGGAGCTGAGTATTCACTGTATGAGGAGGGGGTCGAGTATTTGCTGTATGAGGAGGGGAGCTGAGTATTCACTGTATGAGGAGGGGGTCGAGTATTTGCTGTATGAGGAGGGGAGCTGAGTATTCACTGTATGCGGAGGGCGTCGAGTATTTGCTGTATGAGGAGGGGTCGAGTATTCACTGTATGAGGAGGGGGTCGAGTATTTGCTGTATGAGGAGGGGGTCGAGTATTTGCTGTATGAGGAGGGGGTTGAGTATTTGCTGTATGAGGAGGGGGTCGAGTATTTGCTGTATGAGGAGGGGTCGAGTATTTGCTGTATGAGGAGGGGGTCGAGTATTTGCTGTATGAGGAGGGGGTCGAGTATTTGCTGTATGAGGAGGGGGTCGAGTATTTGCTGTATGAGGAGGGGGTCGAGTATATGCTGTATGAGGAGGGGGTCGAGTATTTGCTGTATGAGGAGGGGTCGAGTATTTGCTGTATGAGGGGTCGAGTATTTACTGTATGCGGAGGGTGTCGAGTATTCGCTTTATGAGGAGGGGAGTCGAGTATTCACTGTATGAGGGAGTCGAATATCTGCTGTACTAGGTTGAGGAGAAATTGAGTATTCACTACATGAGGAAGAGTGTAGTATTCACCGCACGAGGAAGAGTGCTGTATTCACTACATGAGGAAGAGTGCTGTATTCACTGCACGAGGAAGAGTGCTGTATTCACTGCACGAGGAAGAGTGTAGTATTCACTGCACGAGGAAGAGTGTAGTATTCACTGCACGAGGAAAAGTGTAGTATTCACTGCACGAGGAAGAGTGCTGTAGTTACTGCATGAGGAAGAGTGTAGTATTCACTGCACGAGGAAGAGTGTAGTATTCACTGCACGAGGAAGAGTGCTGTAGTTACTGCATGAGGAAGAGTGTAGTATTCACTGCACGAGGAAGAGTGTAGTATTCACTACATGAGGAAGAGTGCTGTATTCACTGCACGAGGAAGAGTGTAGTATTCACTGCACGAGGAAGAGTGTAGTATTCACTGCACGAGGAAAAGTGTAGTATTCACTGCACGAGGAAGAGTGCTGTAGTTACTGCATGAGGAAGAGTGTAGTATTCACTGCACGAGGAAGAGTGTAGTATTCACTGCACGAGGAAGAGTGCTGTAGTTACTGCACGAGGAAGAGTGCTGTAGTTACTGCACGAGGAAGAGTGCTGTAGTCACTGCACGAGGAAGAGTGTAGTATTCACTGCACGAGGAAGAGTGTAGTACTCACTGCACGAGGAAGAGTAGTATTCACTGCATGAGGAAGAATGCTGTAGTTACTGCATGAGGAAGAGTGTAGTATTCACTGCACGAGGAAGAGTGTAGTATTCACTACACGGGGATGAGTGCTGTGGTTACTGCATGAGGAAGAGTGTAGTATTCACTACATGAGGAAGAGTGCTATATTCACTACATGAGGAAGAGTGCTATATTCACTACATGAGGAAGAGTGCTGTATTCACTACATGAGGAAGAGTGTAGTATTCACTACATGAGGAAGAGTGCTGTATTCACTACATGAGGAAGAGTGTAGTATTCACTACATGAGGAAGAGTGCTATATTCACTTCATGAGGAAGAGTGTAGTATTCACTACATGAGGAAGAGTGTAGTATTCACTACATGAGGAAGAGTGTAGTATTCACTACATGAGGAAGAGTGCTGTATTCACTACATGAGGAAGAGTGTAGTATTCACTACATGAGGAAGAGTGCTATATTCACTACATGAGGAAGAGTGTAGTATTCACTACATGAGGAAGAGTGCTGTATTCACTACATGAGGAAGAGTGTAGTATTCACTACATGAGGAAGAGTGTAGTATTCACTACATGAGGAAGAGTGCTGTAGTTACTGCATGAGGAGAAGTATTTGCTGTAATAGTGTGTCCAGAAGATTATATCTGCAGTAAACCAACCACTGGATATAAAGCCAATATTTTGAGTGGTAGAATGCCATTCACTATTGACAATGTTCCACCTTGTCTCTCAAGAAATGCTATTCAACATATAATTAAATGTTTTTTAATTTTAGTATTATGTAATGTAGAGTATTTTGCATTTTTCTTGATAAAGTACATGTTCCGTATATGAGAGGCTTGTAATCGCTAGCAAGACTTTAAGTAATTATAACATACAGTAGTGCAATTTTGTCTAGTAAAGTATGCGTCTTAGCGAACTTGAAACTCACAAACTTGTCCAATGGCGTGATTAGTTGTCGCGTGGGAGATGTGGTTGTGGGCCAGGCGGGAGCAGGAGTAATCATTACCAGTTAAGATTATTCATTAAGCAAATCTGAAGTTGTTAATGTGTGTCCCCATCTTCAAGATGACAACTTTACACTAACCCCCTGAAGACCTCTTCCCATCCATCATGGTGACACACCCTATCATGATGTGTGACTCCCTCTTGTTGTATGGTGACACCCCATCATGATGTGTGACTCCCTCTTGTTGTATGGTGACACCCCCCATCACGATGTGTGACTCCCTCTTGTTGTATGGTGACACCCCATCATGATGTGTGACTCCCTCTTGTTGTATGGTGACACCCCATCATGATGTGTGACTCCCTCTTGTTGTATGGTGACACCCCATCATGATGTGTGACTCCCTCTTGTATGGTGACACCCCATCATGATGTGTGACTCCCTCTTGTTGTATGGTGACACCCCATCACCATGTGTGACTCCCTCTTGTTGTATGGTGACACCCCATCATGATGTGTGACTCCCTCTTGTTGTATGGTGACACCCCCCATCACGATGTGTGACTCCCTCTTGTTGTATGGTGACACACCCCATCACTATGTGTGACTCCCTCTTGTTGTATGGTGACACCCCATCACTGTGTGACTCCCTCTTGTTGTATGGTGACACACCCCATCACGATGTGTGACTCCCTCTTGTTGTATGGTGACACACCCCATCACGATGTGTGACTCCCTCTTGTTGTATGGTGACACACCCCATCACTATGTGTGACTCCCTCTTGTTGTATGGTGACACCCCATCACGATGTGTGACTCCCTCTTGTTGTATGGTGACACACCCCATCACTATGTATGACTCCCTCTTGTTGTATGGTGACACCCCATCACGATGTGTGACTCCCTCTTGTTGTATGGTGACACCCCCCATCACGATGTGTGACTCCCTCTTGTTGTATGGTGACACCCCATCACCATGTGTGACTCCCTCTTGTTGTATGGTGACACCCCATCACCATGTGTGACTCCCTCTTGTTGTATGGTGACACCCCATCATGATGTGTGACTCCCTCTTGTTGTATGGTGACACCCCCCATCACGATGTGTGACTCCCTCTTGTTGTATGGTGACACACCCCATCACCATGTGTGACTCCCTCTTGTATGGTGACACCCCCCATCACCATGTGTGACTCCCTCTTGTTGTATGGTGACACCCCATCACCATGTGTGACTCCCTCTTGTATGGTGACACCCCCCATCACCATGTGTGACTCCCTCTTGTTGTATGGTGACACCCCATCACCATGTGTGACTCCCTCTTGTATGGTGACACCCCATCATGATGTGTGACTCCCTCTTGTTGTATGGTGACACCCCATCATGATGTGTGACTCCCTCTTGTTGTATGGTGACACCCCATCACCATGTGTGACTCCCTCTTGTTGTATGGTGACACCCCATCATGATGTGTGACTCCCTCTTGTTGTATGGTGACACCCCCCATCACGATGTGTGACTCCCTCTTGTTGTATGGTGACACACCCCATCACCATGTGTGACTCCCTCTTGTATGGTGACACCCCCCATCACGATGTGTGACTCCCTCTTGTTGTATGGTGACACCCCATCACCATGTGTGACTCCCTCTTGTTGTATGGTGACACCCCATCACCATGTGTGACTCCCTCTTGTTGTATGGTGACACCCCATCATGATGTGTGACTCCCTCTTGTTGTATGGTGACACCCCATCATGATGTGTGACTCCCTCTTGTTGTATGGTGACACCCCATCACCATGTGTGACTCCCTCTTGTATGGTGACACCCCCCATCACCATGTGTGACTCCCTCTTGTTGTATGGTGACACCCCCCATCACCATGTGTGACACCCTCTTGTTGTATGGTGACACCCCCCATCATGATGTGTGACTCCCTCTTGTTGTATGGTGACACCCCATCACCATGTGTGACTCCCTCTTGTATGGTGACACCCCCCATCACCATGTGTGACTCCCTCTTGTTGTATGGTGACACCCCCCATCACCATGTGTGACTCCCTCTTGTTGTATGGTGACACCCCCCATCACCATGTGTGACTCCCTCTTGTTGTATGGTGACACCCCATCATGATGTGTGACTCCCTCTTGTTGTATGGTGACACCCCATCACCATATGTGACTCCCTCTTGTAGTATGGTGACCCCCCCCCCCTTCCTTACCCCTTTTTACAAACATATTCCTTGTTTGTTTTATGTATTGTAATTATCAAAGTTGTGTAATGGGCTACATAACAATGCACTTCTGTGTCTAAATAACTTTGAGTGCTGCCCACTTCACAGTAGAAGAAAGATCCTTTGATCTGTTGTTGATATCAATTTGTAAATTGGTTGACATGGTTAATTTTTTAGACTGAAACGGAAAGAACATTCTTGTGTGATGTTAATTTAGACTTGATATACAGTGGTTCCAACGTTATTATCTTCATATGAATGTTACCCTAATGTGAAGCTAAAAAAATCTATGGTGTTCTGTAAGTTACGTTCTATTGTGTAACAATAGTGGTACTTGAGAAAACAAAAAATATAGGAAATTGGTACCTAGTTGTTTTATTGCCCACATATTGTACATGTATTTATAAAGTGTTTTTATTGTAACGATATTTTCAGAGTACTTCAGAGGAAATGTATTTACAGTGCACTATGCACGTATGGGACAACATTACCTAGTCATTACCTATAGTACCCATTTGTACCGTAGTTATGGGTAGAGAACTCTGCTCATAGTGTCCTGGTATACTTATCTATTTTATCATAGTTTTATAATTTCAAATAGTTTTAATACTCACAACCTCCTAATGTTTCCGTCAACCTTCCATAAGTTATCATAAAAAATACTTCTATTCTTTCTAGACCTTTTCTACAGTTAGCAACTATGGCCTCTAGTTGTGCTTATGTCTAGTTTAAATATCACTCCTGTTGGTCCCTGTCTCCTTTTCTTTTTATAAACTTGTATGTTATTATATCTCTCTTCTTCTAATATGACCATGTTCAGAGCTTTCAAATTTCTTTGAGGCTTGTGTTACTTTATATTGGAATCCATTTTGTTGCATATTTTTAACTTTTTCTAGGTAGCTAATGTTTCTTTAGGTGTGTGTTTCTTTATCGGAACAAAGTTGGAAGTCTTCGAGGAGCATTTAGATAAGTTCTTGCAGGAAGTGCTGGACCAACCGGGTTATAGTGTGCCGGCGGGCTGCTTAAAGCAACAGCTTGTTGAACCAAGTTATCACAAGTCAAACCTGGCCCCAGGCTGGGATCGGGAAGTAGAAGCACTCCCGAAACCCTCTCCAGATATGCTCCAAGTATGTTAACCAAGTATGTTGCTCCAAGTATGTATCATTTCCCAGCTGCATGCTATACATTACTCCAATTTTGGTCTGACATTGTAAACAGTTTCCTTCATCAGTGTACTTAACCTTACACTGAAATAAGACTTAGTCACCTGAAGTAAATTGGTTGTTTTCAGTGGCAAAAGTAATTTTTATTTTCCTGTTGTCTAGTGTGTTTTCCCACCCCATAATGTTTGCTCAGATCCTTTGGCCTTTAGAATTGAGGCCTTGATCCAGCTTGTGCTGCCATCTTTCAAAAACAGAATCAAATGTCACCTTGAGCATTAGCACCAAAACTACCCAGAGTACATTCCTTAAACTTACACGCCTTTTTCTATGACTGTTTTGACATAAGTCGGGTATGTCATGTTTTGTGCATCGTCATGTGTAAAATGATTTACGATTTCATGTGTAAATATTATCTTCAAGACTCATGTTAGTGCTATTTGGCTAATGGTAATATGAAAGTACTGTAGTAGTTTTTTATTATTATTATTGCAAGACAATTGAGAAAACAAGAAATTGGAGAAAACAGAGGAAGAATTTTTTTTTGGTTCTTTTTATAAGTGCTACATAGCTTTCCCTGCTTGGTGCCTTCTTTTGATAATTACTTGCTTATATCTAATAAAATTACATCAAATTTCTTATGTTAATTTATGTTAATTTGTGTTAATAATACAAATTTATGGTTGTATTTAAGATACAGTATATGCACTGGGAACACCTGTGGCTTTTTATTAAGCCACTTGAGCCATTTTGTATATCAGTGAAGACCTTTTTTATTAAAAGAAAATTTTTACCGATTATTTTATGGTGTATACCATAAAAAAGGGACGTGAGGGAAGAGTGTAAGGGGGGTGCGTAACACTTGTGGAGAGGGGGAAGCATATAACAAAATAATAGAAAAGGAATTTGAGAGTGTGATGAGCCTGTATAGAGTTGGGAGTGTGCTGCGAAAAGTTTGTATGTAATGAGTGATGATTTGATATTAAAGTAGGTGTGTGTCAGGCTTATGTGATCTTGCCGTGTGTATTAATGTATAGATGGAGTGGATCGTGAGGGTGGCCAAGATATGAATGTTGAGGAGGGGTTCAAACCTAGTGTATAGACCTAATACAAGTCTTTGGAGTATGTCGGGTATGATGTGTGCCGGTAATAAAGTTCCTTTAGCAGAGTGAGAGTTCTGCAGACTATTTGAAAACACAGTGCTGTTGACGTTTGTGTGAGAGAAGTGTTAAAGAACTGTTAAGTTGGTAGAGAGAAGGAAATTGTGTGAAATAAATACGAATGTTGAAGTACTGGAAGTTTGTCAATCGGTTTAAATTACCCGAGATGTGCAGCTGTTTAAAGAGGAATTTATGCAATCCTAGTTGAAAGTTGGGCGAGTTGGAAAAGAAAAGTGGTTAATATAATGAGAACTTCAGCTAGGAAACAAGGTAGGAAAAGATGTTACCAGAGATCTGCACGATGGAGTGGTGATGCCGACTTGAGCATGGCTGCCATATCATGGTGTTAAACCGTTTAAATTACAGTATACTAACTGCAAGTAGCCGGCTTGTCTGGTGTACGGTTTTAATAATTGTGTTCGTCAAAGTTTCCTAAATATGTGATGTTAAATAACAGCCAACTAAACTAAAAATTTGGGTTGGCACTTGCTTCTTTAAACTCTTTAAGGACATGTTCATAAAGTTAAAATGTTTTAATGCTGAATAAGTAAAGAAAGGCAGTGTGTGAAGATTCTGTTACTGTAATTTAAAAATGTATATTGTACTTAAAATACAGTACTGTATACTGTATTCATATACAAAAGCAGTGAAGACACATCAGGAAGTGATAAAGTAACATGGATTTGCTCCATGTCTGGACATTATCGGCCACAAAAAAAAAGCGATCACTACATTGAAAATAGTACCAGGAATAGACAAATTATTGAAACTTGTAACATCAAGAACAAGAGGTCATATTCAAGTTAAGGAAGCAAAGTCGTAGAAAAGAAATACAGTTCTCTTTTTGCAGAGTGGTTGAAGATGGAAACAGGTGAAGCAAGTTGGTAATAGTTGCTAAAACCATCAGTAGTGTAGTTTCAAGGTGTCATTTGACAAAGTACTGTACTGGGAAGACGTGACACCACGAGCATAGTTCTCATCCTGTAACGGCACTTGAGTAATTATGCAACTAATATATACTCCCGTAGTAGTTTTAGTAATAGCTAGCAGTTCACCCCTGCTTCAGTGTCTTCAACTGCACAACGCTCTTAATTCAGTGTGCCTGAATGCTGATCAACTGTGTATACCTAACATTTTACACACGCCATAATACCACCACCAGCTCAACACAACTATTATTTCAACTGCTTCACTCGTATAAATGATAGCCCCAAACAAGCATAATAACTTTGTTGAAAAATGTATATACCCAAGGGGGACTTCCTTAGATCTTCAAGCCTACCTAATGTTAGTCCCACTTCCCACCCTTCAGTGAGGGGTGCCATGACATGGTGAGGTGGGCTCTTGTGCTCCAGCTACAGGTAGGAGAGGGGTGGCTCCTGCTCCCCTCTCCTGCCTGGTGTGGTGGTGTACAAGTAAAATATGGCCCCATATGTTAGCCATGTATGTAGACCTATACGTTTCCCTTATGTTTCTTCATCTGAGAGTTGAGCCTACCCAGTGGAAATGGCCCCTGGAGGGCAACACACTTCTTTGGTGAGAGGGACAAAGGCAAAACAGGAGGTTCAGTGCAGCCCACCCGAGCCAATCAGCTCGTCTGGTTAGCCCGGCTTAGTTAGACATCAGATAAAGTGGCCATTGTGGTGTTGGTCCATTACTGCACAAAGGAAGGGTGTGGGGTCATCTATAGCCCAAAGAATGGATATGGGAGACAGGGCCTAGATACTGGCATTATCCCTGACATACTAAAAACAGCAGAAATAGGTCCACTCCATAAAGGAGGAATTAAGACAGAGGCAAAAAATTACAGACCGATAGCACTAATACCACACATTATAAAAATCTGAGTGTGTGCTAAGGAGTAAAATCACAAAATACATGGAATCACAGCATCTCCATAACCCTGGACAACATGGTTTCAGAACAGGGCACTCAAGCCTATCACAGTTGCTGGACCACTATGACATGGCCTTAAATGCAGACGAACAAAACGCTATGTAATTGCACAGATTTTGCAAAAGCCTTCGACAAATGTGACCATGGTGTTATTGCACACAAAATGCATTCAAAAGGAATTACAGTACCAGAAAAATAGGCAGATGGATCTACAATTTCATGACTAACAGAACCCAATGTGTAAGTCAACAAAATAATCCGGTCCATCAACCGTGAAGAGCTCAGTCCCCCAGGGTACTGTGCTTGCTCCAGTACTTTCTCAAACCCCTTATCATGGACATAGACAAGGACACAACCTATAGTACTGTATCATCCTTTGCAGATGACACTAGGATTTTTATGAGTAGACAACATAGAGGACATGCCAAACCTCCAATCAGATGTAAATCAGGCCTTTCAATGGGCTACAGAAAATAATATAGTATTTAATGAAGATAAGTTCCAGCTCCTGCACTACAGAAAAAAAATGAAAAAATAAAAATGGAAACCACGTACAAAATGCAGTCAAATTATACCATAGAATGAAAAAGCAAACTTAAGGATTTGGGTGTACTCTTGTTGGAAGACCTTACCTTTAAAGAACACAATAAAGTAGCCGTCACAACTGCAAGAAAAATTACAGATTGGATAACAAGACCCTTTCAAGCTATACCAATGGTGATACTTTTCAAGATGCTAGTGCTCTCTAGAGTAGAATACTGTTGCACAATGAGAGCTCCTTTCAAAGCTGGAGAAATTACTGATCTGGAGAGAGTGCAGAGAATCTTTACTCTTAGAATCTACTCGGTAAAACATCTAAACTATTGGGACCGACTAAAATGCCTAAATCTGTATTTTCTTGAGCGCAGGCGGGAGAGATACGTAATAATTTACACGTGGATAATACTATATTAGAAGAGCTGGTCCCAAACCTGCACACAGAAATAACACCACACGAGACCAGAAGGCATGGCAGGATGTGCAGAATACCCCCCCTTCCCTCTGTTGAAAAGCAGAGGTGCAATAGGTGCTCAGAGAGAGAGAGAGAGAGAGAGAGACCAGTTCAGCAACTAGAAGGCCTGGTCGAGAACTAGGCAACGGGGACGTTGA